TATTTCCAAATACTTTTTCCATGTTTTTTCAAGCCTACCAAGTCAAATTACATATTCCATCCATAAATTTTAAATGTAAGCAAATCTACATGTCCTATTTATTAAACAATCAATCCACTTATTAAACAAAACTCTTTATTATAAGCAATATGGAATGGAAACCTTTCACAGCGGAGTGTTGTCTTCCTTCTGAGATGTTAGAATTAGTTGTCACTGCCTCAAACATGGTATCCATAATCTGGTACTGGGAATTTCTATTAATTATTGTAGTCGATGCTATAATCCACATTTGTACACAAGTTTAGTCAATAACTATTACCATATCATATAATTTTAAATATAAGACAAAGAAATTTAAGAAATTAAATGATCATGAAAACCCCTTGACAATTTGTCAGGTGAAGATATTTAAACAGGATGGATTATTCAGAAATAAAATCATAGCTCACATTTATACTGTTTAAGGTGAACAAGAGTGGAAAGATTTCTTGCTCCTCCACCTGATTCAAACAAAAGTGGAAAATGAAGGATTACAGAACATTATTTAATCGGGTGTCCTTACCTGGAGCTCATGGACACTCACCCCACAAGGGGTCACAGCTCAAGGACGAAGAAGCTGCAGGTCCAGAAAATTGTGAGGACAAACTTTTTCGAAGTGAGGTTGTGAACTCTTGGAACAATCTGCCAGAAAGTGTTGTGATGGCACCGAGTGTGAGCTCTTTCAAGACCAGACTTGACCAACACTGGAGCAGGTTCAAGTACATTCAGGAGCCGGTGCATGCCCAGTACTTGCCAACAGTGTAAAGAGACGGTACCTGCAGCTAGCACAAGTTCATCAGTGGTGAAGAGGATAAAAGTAATAAGAAAGCTACATAATTACAGGGTTGTGTCACCCATGGAAGCACTGTTAAGACAGACAACTTTAACCCTTACAAACTTCTTAAAATATACCTTCATTAACCATTTCATGGTGTTATACCACAATGAGCAACTTTGATTACTAATTTTGGTTACTGGTAACCAATTCATACAAAATTAATTCAATCTGTTCCTATGAAAGAGAAAAGTGTAATAGACAAGTTTCTAGATGTTCCAGAGGCTAACAGTAGTAGATATGCAGATAAAATGGATGTAAAAAGCCATTCCTTATGCATTAGAAATTTCTCAGAGGCCAAGCAAATTGGTATGTTGTAGCTAAGCAGAGCATAGGCAAAATTTAAGCAGAAAAAAATAAAAGGCCGAGTTCAATGATTAACCGTTCAGTTAATTGGCAATATGAATTTTACAAGTGAAGTTCAAACACCCCATTAATGATGAACATATACTGTAAATCCTTGAGCAAACTGATAATTTTTGATATCGATTATAACACAGCATCACCTGATCATGCAAAAATTCCCCATTACCTGATGCATCCTTGGTATTTTTCCATATAAACACCCGTGGTGTTAGGTTGGGCAGAAACGAGTGATTTCCGACAGAAATGGATGTTAGAACCAATGAATCACACTAAAAACCTATGGAAAATTTTTTTTAAGCTTAGGGAGTTGGGTGTTAATTAGAAATTTACAGCATGCTTCACCCCACTTCCAACTACTGATTTTTTTTATCAGCTCTTTTACTATCTGAAACATCCTTCACTCCACTTTGTACCATTTCAAACATCCTTCCCTCCACTTCCTACCACCAAAAATATCCTGCCCTTCAATTCCTACCACAAGAAACATTCTTCCATTCACTTCTATCAACTGAAACATCCTTCCCTCTACTTCCTACCACTTGAAGCAAATTTCAGTCAACTTCCAAATAAAACGCACAAAAAGTCGAACACAAAATTCTGATACTGTGAACTCAACCTTATTCAGGGTTTACAGTTTTTCCAACCTATACTTATGCTCCACACATTAACAGAGGCTAAAACTTAACATAAATATTGTACCGAGTATTCACACCCTGGGCAATAATAACTATGTGAAACACAGCTCACTTCCTTATTAAAGTTTGTTTTGAAGAATTATTTCTAACTACTGTACATATTTACGAGCTAAAGACTGTTGGTTAGTAGGCCTGGAGGTAAAAATGGCAGTATTATCTAGCATTTGTGATGACAGCTACAACTGACATCGGTTAACAAACTTGAGCACTTGAAAACTATCATAAATCAACAATTAACATAAATGGAGCAACAAGTATATTATAGAAAGAAAACACTCAAATTTGATGAGCAATGATGATATAAATGGAGCCTAAGATGAGTGGAGACTAAGAAATACAAATAATAAAATGAATTTGATATGAATAACTATGCCAATGTAGTAGCAAATGATAATGAAAAGTGAACTAATTGATAAAAACAAAGTGCATGTATATAGCAGCACTGAAGTACAATGACTCCATAACATTAACTTCAGATAAAAGGTAAATGTATACAGTAATTTATAGAACACAAATTTGAATCATGAAAGAACAAAAAAAAAAAATTATTAATGCAATACTAATGCAACCTGCAACTATCAATTGCTTCAATACGAGTAAATCTATTAGATCAGCTCTATCATGCTGTACAAAAATATAATAAAATGCTCAAGACCACTTGGAGCACAGCAGACTTACAAAGGTAAATAAACTACCAGGTATTTCTTACAAACTACAAACAGGACATTCTGACTTATTTTTTGAGCAAAAATATTACTAGCAATATTCATTAAAAAATTAGTTTGAAATGGAAGTTTTACCTTAAACTAAATTCAAGCAAACAAGAGTTTATATACACGTGGCTAATCCTCTTGAAAGTGTTGACATCGGCAGGAAAAGTTCTTTATTGTGACCACACTAAAACATTTTTGGGGAGAGAAAGCCAAAGTTCCTATGCAAGTATTGTATAGTGAACTAATACGAGGTGACCTACTAACACCTGGATTAATCAAAAAGGAGAGACTTGTTATGACACTGCAAAAACCCAGCAGAATACTGGATAAATAAATACTGGAGTTTGGAGGCTTAGGAAAGAATCATGGGTTCTGATTAATCTAGATTCATCATCATCGCTGGAAAATCCACCATGACACTGGACCCTCAAGTATAGTACCTTGATTTTGTAATTAAACCTTTAATACTTTGTTTTTCCCTCCATGGCTTGAGGGTGAGCCACATGTAGACTTCCCAAATCATGCCATCCACTTACACACACTGTGGCAACACTTAAAACAATTTATTGAATTCAACATATTGGTTTTGCATTCTAAAATCTTAAAGCATTTTCATTATTTATATTCTAAAATACTTTTATTACAAGCACTCGGGAAACAAGCCAAGATCCCATATCTTTTCTCCCTAAGTCCTAGGCCTAACTGTGATCAGAACTTTCAAACCTTCTCAGATCTTAAATTTGCAATAAATTATTTACAAAACTGATAATGGTCTTAAATAATCTTTGATCCTATATTCAAGCTGTGAAACTTATTGGATTATACACTGTAGTACAAAATATCATGTTCAGTAAAGATATATTTCAATTTTAAAGTTTCAAATTTATATATATATATATATAAAAATATATATATATATATATATATATATATATATATATATATATATATATATATATATATATATATATATATATATATATATATATATATATATATATATATATATATATATATATATATATATATATATATATATATATATATACACACACACACACAGTCAACCTCGCTTTACGTGTCCCACATTCCGCGTTTCCACGCTTTACGTGGTACTCCTGCCAAACAGGAATGCTCACATTCCACGGTGCATGTACCACTTTACGCTGAGGCTGGCGAGCCGCCATTTTTGGATCCAAACCTCCCGCCATCCGCCATGTTGTAAGCGCGCGAGCATGGTGCTACTGCGTCGCCCAGTCATCAAAACATTACCGAAGTTCTTTCACCCGCCACCCACCACAGCCGCCCAAGTCAGTGATAGTGATAATTATAGTGAGGATATGGACTTATATGGACTTTGAGGGGTTTTGACAAAGAGGCCCTGTAAGCCTCTGTGGTGGATAGTGATAATTGATAGGTGAGGGCCAATAATCTGCCCTCTGCCTCGAACCAACCGCCCATCCCGCTGTGCCCAGCCATCTTTTCTACTAATGTAAGTGTTACAAAACCTAATAGATATTTCTCTTTAATATTAATTGTGTGTGCATACCATCATAAAGTTAAGATAATATTTTACTACAAATAAGTTGTGTGTCACAAAAGTGGAGTTTGGGGTCGGCCCGTCTCTATTTCAATTAATCCCATATATATATATATATATATATATATATATATATATATATATATATATATATATATATATATATATATATATATATATATATATATATATATATATATATATATAATATATATATATATATATAAATATATATATATATATATATATACCAATAGAGGATGACATCATTATGACCTGACCTCATGTTTTAAGGTCACCCTGTATATTTAAGCCTCTCTGTCCATGTAATCCAGTTGCCTCTGAAGATGTCTTGAATAAAGACAAAAGCTAAGGTGCCCGCTTTTCCTCTTCCCCGTGATTTTATCAATATATATATATATATATATATATATATATATATATATATATATATATATATATATATATATATATATATATATATATATATATATATATATATATATATATATATATATATATATATATATATATTATATATATATATATATATATATATATATATATATATATATATATATATATATATATATATATATATATATAAAAATAATATATATATATATATATAATATATATATATATATAATATATATATATATATATATATATATATATATATATATATATATATATATAATATATATATATATATATATATATATATATATATATATATATATATATATATATATATATATATATATATATACTATATATTTCCTGAGACAGCATTCCAATTCTGCCTTTGCAAAAAAAAAAAGTATTTAGCAATAGATAATGTACAAAATGTCACTTTTTCAGGGACAATTTAGTGCAGACATATTTGCACGAAGATATTGACAGAGAATTCTTGTTAAGTAGACCTCTTCGAAACACTTTTGAGCTGACCAACTTTCAATGCAGCAAAAAAGTATTTAAGAGCCTAAGTTCAAAATCTCCAATCCAGGAATCTCCAGTCTATGAACCTACATCCATGAATCTTTAGCCCATCAACCTATAGTACACAATTATAAAATCCAAGAACCTTCAATCTAAGAATCTCTGTCAACGAAACTTAAAAAAAAGTATCAGTTAAAGACTCTACATTCTAACAACCTTCACAGAACTTCAAATCAAACAATCTACAACCTAAGAACCTCCATGAAATTTGCCAAGAGCATTAATCCCAGAACCTCCATTCAAAATCGTAAAAATAGACTTCAGTCCATGAACCCGTAGTCATATAACTGTAGTTGAAGAACCTTTAAAGAACTCAATGGTCAAGTACCTTTAGTCCAAAAACTCTCAGCCTAAGAACCTTCAAAGACTATATAATTCAAGAACTTTCAGGTTACAGAACTACTGTATAGTCCCAGAACCTCCAGTCAAAGAATCTAACAGTCCAAGTACCATCAATCCAAGATTCTCCATGCAAAAATCTACTTAAAGTAAACAAGTATCTTACAGTTTCAAGCACAGAAGTGAGGACAGGGAAATACTTTACATAATGCCAACTACTTGCGGCTCACAGCATATGACGTCCTACAAGTGAATATATGTGTATCCTGAATTTCCAATTATACAAATATATACAAATTACATAAGTCTTGGCAGCAGATCTAGGATCCTTGAGAGACATTCTTCAAGGGGTCTGAAGACATAGTGGAAGGATCTAAGCAACTTGCCACCAAAACTTGACAAAATGTGAGTTTCTTCTCCCATATGAAACACTTCCCTCCACTGTCCATAGCTACACATTTTGTGCAGATTAATTTATTGTTCACAAGGCTTTACATACTGTTTACTGCAAATTATTATTGAACACTTCCCTTTCATTGTTAAATTTTCTTTTTCTCTTTTTTCATAATTTAGAAAACTTTAATTTCATAAAAGATTTCAAGTTCTATTTGTCACATTAATGTTTCTTTCACTCTGACTTAAGCCATTATATTTTATGCAATGTTATTACCTGTATTTCAAATTCTTATTATCATATTTCATTTTGCTTATCCTGACAACATTCACAATTATTTAAGTAAAATAAAAGTATCAACATCATTACACGTCCGTACTCTTCACCAAGTCCACACAACTTAGAGAATAGGAAGATGCGAGGCACACTGCTAACATATTTTTACACTTCATACATTGACACCATATTTCCCACTTCCATTATTTTCATAATTTACAAGTAAATATATCACTTAAATTGTCACCATAAGCCACAGAGTAAAATTTTTTACATTAAAAATTATACAGGAACAATGGTGAATAGTGGAAATGCATGGGATGAGAATGGTCGCCTCACATCAAATAGTGACCCAGGGCTCGAAGACCATGAAGCAGCTCTGCCTGAAGACGTGCCTCCAGGACAAGAATCATCACATGGGCCTGAAATCAGATATAAGTAAAGATTAAACATCTTCACAGCATGATGATGTTCTCAACTTTATTGTTATGTCCCCAGAAAGAAGCATTTTATTGTAAGATTCAATATATAAATACAACCGTAAAGTACAGTATAACAATTCCCCAACTTTTTGCAAATTTACAATTCGTGAATACACATTTACCAGTTATATAACCTTAAACTGTTAGTGATCCATCTCCTAGATAATATATTAACAAATAGTTAATGACTTACATAAAAAAATAATGATTTAAGGTTGTCTGGAAAGACAATTGGATTGGAGGTACAGTAATTATGTATCTAAAGCTAATACAGATGTAAGAAGAAAATAATACTTTGTATCTTTGTATATTTCAATTTATTTTTTATCCCTTACCCATAGCTTCTTGTTTTTATTTTTTATTAATTTATTTTTTATACACAGATCTCTTGTTTGTATTGCAGAAGTGAAAGATTGCTCCTGCCTGAGATTATAAAAATCTACAGGTGCAATACTTACTTTTTCACTCTGCAGGAAGCCCTTCATAATGGCTGAGGCAGCATCTCCACATGATAACTTCTCTGGGTAACAGGCAACAGTTTTCAGAAACATCTTGAGATTTCTCTCCAGCAGCTGGTTTATCTGGCTGTAGTCATAATCATCATGTCTGAAAACCAATAATCAAATTAATCTTTCTGTCGTTAAATGCTGGGAATATTAGAGTGGTGGTGGTTCAGCAGTAGTGCACTTGCCTCTCACCACTACAGTTGAAGGTTCAAATCCCTGGGCCAAATATGAGAAGGGTGTTATACAGTGTGATCCAACCAAATATTATTGCTTTTCTTTGGATATTCCAGTTTATTCCTGCACTAACACTGGATAATGAAGGTCATAACAAAGAATACACCAACTGTGACTGCCCACATGGCTTGTAAGTTGTTAATTGGCAGAAATGCTACTTATAAAATATAAATAACTACTACCTGTATATAGAACTTTAAATGCCCTCAATCCAAAATTTTAGTTGCAAAAGACATATTCTTTATGGATGACCTCTAAAGCCTAGTAAGAATGCTTGGAGATGGTAACAACAAAGAGCAAAAGCATACATTATGTATTATGTAATATTACAAAGTGAAGGAAATTTGTTCCAGTCTTTAGTAAAATGTTTGGTAACATCTGGTGTCTACCCCAGTGTTTTGGGGTAGACACCACTTACAACACTTTGGATGCTATGTTTAATTCATCCTGATTGTTATAATTCATTACTAAATGGCTCTAATCTTTCTAAATCCCACAAAACACTGTGCTGAGGTATTTTTTAAGAGTATTGACAAAGCATGGCTCACCTTATACCATACAAGCAGTGCAGGTAATTCCACACCCCACGACGGAATAGGAACGTATCCACATGCAACTTGTGGCCACAAGTGTAGTATGTTAGATTATAAGCAGTTTTGAACTTGTCATCTAAAAGATCACCAACTTCATTGTACAACTCACTGACAAGTGAGAAGCCATGTTCTTCCCATGAACAATCCTGGAAAGAAAAATATGTTAAGTTTACTATCTCATTAACAATGAAGGCTCAATTGTAAAATCATGTTTTATAACCAAGTTAGGATCAAGTAACTCAGTATAATAAGCAAGTCTTGAAGTTGTTACTCTGTGGCCCTAAAGTGTGACAAAGATCTAAAAGCCAAATATCTGATTAAAGGGTAACCCAAAACATATAAGTCTTTAAGGGTCTCGTATCACAAAGAGAACACTGCAAGGTTAGAAGAGGAGGAAATCGTTCATGCTATGCACAGTAAAAGGTCATCCAGTGTCAGATTTACTCATTTTCATTGCCTTTGGTTACAACCTGTAGTCTTACTGAGGATATATAGTGCAGTACACAGATTTTGACAGTTAAAAAAAGAAAAATTAACAAAGTTAAGACAAGGTGATACCACTGACTCAGACAATTTTGAATAAGTTCAAATAATCCCCTCAAAAATTAAATCTTTTTAGCTGCATCAGTCAGCTCTATAAGTGCTATTCCTGACTGAGCAACTGACAATGTTTTTCTCCCATACAATCAGTAAGGTGACAAAGAACAATTAGCTAATGGCCACCTTCATGCCCCCAGGTAGTGGAGACCAACAACAAAATAAATGTACAGTTCATATAAAAAAGTAAATTGTATGACCATTGATAAAAAGCTTGTTTTAATCACCGATAAATTTTCTTTAAAGAAATCGCTGTTTTACTCAGAAAAACACTTTCTGTGGAAGAAGTTTAATGTTTCATGAACTGGAACATAAGCAGTCAGTACTACACTGGACAAAAAACTTTTAAGGATCAATACTCGTACTGCACAATAAATACAGGGTATAGATGTATGTCAGTAACTAAACATACTTCTCTTCTGCGTTTTACCATTATACAGTATGTATAGTCTCGTTCAAGATTCTTCGAACACTGCTGGAGACAGCTGGCAACTCAAGGCCGTTTGTTTACTATAGTACGTAGTATAATACAATACGAAACAACAAAGCCCAACCATTAATTAAGCAACAGGGAACTAAATAACCAATCACCTATAACCTTTTACATTCATTCATAATTTATAATACGTGCTATAGTAAACAAACGGCCTCGAGTTGCCAGCTGTCTCCAGTAGTGTTCGAAGAATCTTGAACGAGACTACCTGAGATAAGACCCTTACCTGTGATTTGAGTGTGGGGACAGGTGACTTCTCTCCTCTCTTGTGAAAGTCTACATACATGAACTCTGGATCTGGTGACAAGTGGCCATACCGGGAATGAGCAGCATTGGTGCACTCCACTTCTGGAGTTGAAATGTTGGCTGTCTGCTTCTTGAGCTTTTCAAAACTAAAAATATATCTTAATTTATTATTTGTTTCAAATTGAATGTGCTTTTCTAATTTGATACATATAATTATAGTTTAGCATATAGAACAGATAACCATTTTAACATAACTACCGTAATTAATTGCGGAATATACATCTATTAAAATACGAAAAACCTGTTCATATATTATATAGCAACATCCTCTAACATATGACTGTTTATGCCTTACCTTTCTCTTGTTAATTCTTCAGAAATACAAGAATAATCTGAATGAGAGAGTGTAAGGGATTTCATGCGTTCAAGAAGAATATCTACTCCTCCTTCACTTAACTCTCGACTACTGGGTGACCCTGAAGAACATGCCTGTTAAAAACAAATACATTATAATAATACAGTACAGTGTATGTAAGTGTTCTTAAACTTTATGTAAATAAAATAGATGCAATGTCTTACTAATATAACTGTACAGAACAGTCCAATCTGGTACACAAGTAATGCATGCATTTAATCATGAATTGAAATTAAAAAATAAATAAAAATTGAACAAATTATATATATTGCAGTGAAATGTTTTTCAGTACTGTACAGTACTATAAGAGGTAACACAAGAAATTTAGTGAGTGAAACCTTTAATGTAATGAGATAATTGATACCTGAACAAATGGTGAGGAGTACACTTCTATTTCACCAGATGCAGCCTCAATACCACACCCGTGCACATAGGATGACAATGCATGGAATTGAGCCATTATACAAATAGCGTGTGCTATCTCACTAACTGACCAACCACTCTTCACCAGTTTCTGGAGAAAAGAAAACAAAACTCTATATTAATAAACATAATTTGGTGCAATTCATGCCATACTTATCAACAAGTTCTGGGGAATTTATACCCTATATACATTACAGTACTGTACTGTATTACATTTAATGTGTGATAATTATTCTAGTACTGTACAGTACAGTGCAGCATATAACTTCACTATTTCAAGTAGCAGTTACTGCCTCTTAGTAATACTGACACAGTACCGTATATATATATATATATATATATATATATATATATATATATATATATATATATATATATATATATATATATATATATATATATATATATATATATATATATATATATATATATATATATACACACACACACACACACACACACAGTATAGTCTTGGTTTACGCGGATTTTGTATATGCGGTTGGTCATTTACGCGGCACATGTCCAGACGTGCCAATTATTAGTTACGCGGTATATTCCTGAATTTAGTGGGAAGCAGCGTAGACAAGCTGTGCACTAGGTCGCTCTTACGTCACCGCTGATGTCAGATGACATTTCGGACTGTGATTGAGCCACGCATCCTTACCACCCACGCATCCCCTCCACCGCGAGCTGTGATTGGTCTATTTAACCTTGCTCGCCCAGTCAACAAAACATTACCGAGTTCTTCACCCGCCACCCACCACAGCCAGCCCAAGTCAGTGAGGATATGGACTTTGAGGGGTTTGACAAGGAGGCCCTGCTAGCCTCTGTGGTGGATAGAGAGATACAGGTGATACAAGTGATACAGGTGAGGGACAATAATATGCCCTCTGCCTCAGAACCAACCCCCCATCCCCGTGTGCCCAGCCAACTCTTCTACTAACGTAAGTGTTAAAAAACCTAATATTATTGATATTTCTCTTAAATATTAATTGTGTGTGCATAACATCATAAAATTACGATGCTATTTTTACTAAAACGTACGTATTGTTTCGGAAAAAGGGTAGTCTGGCGGTCGGCCCAGTCTCTATTTCAATTAATCTCATATGTTCTGTTATTTCGTTTACGCGTTTCACGTTGTACGCGGACCTTCATGGGTTTAATTGACCGCGTAAAACGAGACTATACTGTATATGTGTGTGTGTGTGTGTGTCTGCTAACACTGTTGATCAATAAGTTATGTAGACATACTCAGCAAACTACATACAGTCCTATATTATTTTTATTTATTTATTTATTTATTTATTTTATTTTATTTTATTTATTTTTTTTTTATAATATTCGCTACTTATCAACTTACTAGCCGTAAGTAACACTGTAAAGGTGAAGCCTTCCCCACTATATGAAATGCTTCATATAAATTATCAGTACTGTAATGTTCATCTCCAGATGACTTTTTTACAGTAATACTAACCACTCACATCAGATTAATCCTGGTCTAATATAAGTGAGCAATACATCCTTCTGTACTTGTAAACACTCAGTGCTGCCAAAATTTTAAAATTGGGACATTGTTCAAGTGAGATACAGTAAACCCTCAATAACTCGGCACATATGGGGCTTTGGCCTTGCCGAGTTATCCCAAATTCCGACTTATCGAGGCACTTCCCCCCCCCCCTACAAAACTACAATAAAAAATTATCAACCCATATATGTGTACATGTAATTACTAAATGTAAAAAAGTAACACTTACCAGCACTGCAGGCAAAGAATAAAGCATCACAGCAGGTGATGAAGGTGACCAGATAGGCCGAGATTTTCCCAGATAAATTTACATATCTCGGCATATCCATGCCGATTTATTTGAAATTCCGAGTTATTAAATACCGAGTTATCGAGGTTTACTGTACTGTAGTGAAGGCGAGTAAAAGGACACTGACCTGTACGTGGTGTTTATCATAGAGCCAGGGTTGGTGTGCCAGGACCAAGTTAGTGTGGTGAAGATCCTGTAGTTTCTTGGGAGCATATTGAAGGCCCTGGAGCCACTCCTCAGGGCCACCAGCTTCTAAAAAGGCTGTCTTCTGCTCCTCCACCAGGTAGCTGCAGTCATGTCGACATGCTGCCTGAGAATGACAAACTAAAATTATTCCACTTAAAATACCAGCTGGCAAATATAACTACTCTTCACCCTTAAGGGAACTTCTATACTGTACATGTACCATGCATCTCCTGTAATGAATCTAGTAATCTAGTACAATTAAAAAGAATAAACCATTTTTCAAAATAAATTTTACAAAATTGACTTGGTTAACAATTTGGGACCTGGAACCTAAGGTATCACTCACTAGACTGTCTGGCCATATGTGAGTCACACAAGAATTGTACTGTATCAGTTTATAAGAAAATGGGACTGGAATTGACCTTGAAGTATTGGTAATATGGTAAATGTGACCACAATTGTCTTTATATTTCACAGAAAGACTATACAAGTGGATAAAAGTGCTCACATGTGAAGCCTGTATGTATTACCAGTACAGTATTACCTGTAGCTACAAATATGAAGCTACAAAAATAGGGGACCCTAACTAGACTGTCTTGACTGAAAATGCCAAGTGTTGAACTTATAAGATATCTTTTTATGCTTTATCCACATACTGTACTGTACCATGCCATATTAAAAACTCCCAGATGCACTGAAGGAGGGAGGTATGTGAGCTTGGATGTGCAGTCCAATTCTCCCCTCCCCCCTTCCCAGACAGCAGGGGACAAGAAAGCATCAGAAAAATGGTTTAAATGACAGATTTCATTGCTTGGGACTCCCATTATACTGTTTTCAAAATACAGTTGAGTCTAGATTTATGCGGTTTTGGTTTATGCGTTTGGTCATTAACTCGGTGCCTTGCCAGAATTGAAATGCTTTAATTACGCGGTAAATTTGGTCATTTATGCGGAGAGCAGCTGGCTGTCCAGCCGCGCGCTATTTTGGATTCAAACCTCCCGCCATCCCGCCATGCCTGACCACAAGCGGGGGGAAGCGGCGCAGGGAGGGGTGCGCAGTATGTCGCTGTTGCGTTATCGGTGACGTTGTATGATGTATCGGACTGTGATTGGGCCACGCATCCTTACCTCCCTCCCCCGCTAGCTGTGATTGGTTTAATGTAATATGACGTGCCCTGCCACGGGAGGGAAGAAGTCGCTGACCTAGCAGGGCCTGTCTCATTAATCTCAGTCCACGTATACAGCTCTCTCTTGTGCCCGCTATTCCCCTCACAACTCACAATGACTGCCGCAGGACCCCCACCACCAGAGAAAAACATTGAAAAACCTGGACCAAGCCATGATAATGTGAAGGAAATCATCGAGTTGGGGGAGAAACTTAAGCTCATCCTTGACAACGACCCAGACAAGCATCGGTATGAAGTGTCTAATAACCATCTGACGAAATTTATGGAGCCATATATCCAGATCTATCTCGACAACATCAATGCTAGTCGTCAACGTAGTATTGAAGACTTCCTCGGCCGCAACCCACCACAACCACAGCCAGCCCAAGTTAGTGATAGTGACGATATGGACTTTGAGGGGTTTGTCTGGGAGGCCCTGCAAATCTCTGCGAGTAGTGAAAGTGAAAGTGATTCACCGGAGGGCAACTAATCTGCCCTCTGCCTCGGAACCAGCCGCCATCCACGTGTGCCGACCCAGCTTTTCCACAAGCGTAAGTGTTAAAAAACCTAATATTATTGATATTTCTCTTAATTATTAATTATGTGTGCATACCATCATAAAATCAAGATGTTATTTTTACAACAACGTACTTATTGTGTCGGGAAAAAGTGGAGTTTTTGGGTCGGCCCAGTCTCTATTTCAAATAATCCCATATGTTCTGTTATTTCATTTACCGGTACGCGTTTCTCGATTTACGCGGTACTCCACGGGTTCAATTGACCGCGTAAATGAAGACCCAACTGTAGCTGTAAATAAGCAGCACAATGCACTACAAATAACCATGCCAGGACGAGGTCACTGTACCTCCCTCTCCTGTCCCCTGGCAATGGGCCACAATACCCAAGTTGATACTGTGACACATTTCTTTATAGTTTGCTTGCAGTCCTGGGTAGCTACATCATGTATGAATTCTTACAGCCTAACCAACTTCATGAAGCCAATGACACACTGACATTACTGTAAAATTCCAATCTAGAGCTTTGAATGTGTATATGTAATTTTCTAAATGGCTCAAAACAAATACTGTACATTTAATACTTTGGTAAAAATATTTCCTCAAGATTGTACCAAGATGATTAATGACCAGAGGCAGAGGTGTGGGTCATATGGGTTTAGTAAAATTCATGAACGATAGATGTTGTGTGATAAAATAATACATTATCTATTTACATATCTGATGCTATGTTCCCCTCCAGGATAGGGATGTTATAAGCGACTGAAGATCAAGTCTCTGATACACAAAGAGACATCATGGCCAACACCTCATTTTACCATCTTTCACTTTCCTACCTCTATGCAGTGCCGGATTTAGACCTATGGAGGCCCATGGGCAGCCTCTATGTGGAGGCCCCCCTCATTATAACAACCCAAGAGGGTGGGATGGCGAGTGAAGCGAGCCTAAACATCTGGGAGTTCCGGGGGGTGCTGTAAACCTCCCGGGAAAATTTTGAAATTTGAGCACTTCTTTGGAGAATTTTGAAGCCATATGCAGTTATATAAAGGAAATTAGAACATTGAGAAATTTTTAATTAACTGTATATTTATTGATAGTGTACAAATTCCCAACACACACACACACACACACACAAAAGTGAGACATGACTGGAGTCATTCATGTGGTTTCAAGTCGACCAGCCCTGATATGTGGAGGCCCCCAGATTGTGGAGGCCCCTGGGCAGCTGCCCACTTTGCCCACTCCTGAATCCGGCCCTGCCTCTATGATTTGGCTAACCATTCTGCAGCTGGGTCAACTAAGTGGTACCCCCACTTAGTCGTGCTGTATACACTCAGCCTCACTTCCCTCTTCAAAAAAAAAAACCATTATATCACCTATCCCTACTGCTCCATCAATCAACAAGTACAGGGGATCTACATCAGTCAAAATCAATAACTTTATTGCATTGCTCCCTTAGAAACTGAGAGCAATGGCCATAAAGAAAAAGCTTATTTCACCTACAGGGGTATTTATCGACACCTCCGTTACATACCTTCAGTAGCTGCCAACACTTCAATTACACAAGTTAGTTACTTGGGCTCATACTGGGTGAATGTTTCAGCTACGTGCATCCAGATCATTATGCTTATATAATACTACAGTAATTAGCATTAAAGTGGGCACACTAGTGGCTGCACTGAGTGAGGACATCTTGATCTGCTCAATGGTTGCCAAGTGTCACTCAAAGGTCAACATGCTTGGAGACCTGAAAGACTATTTGTTGAAAAATTCTGTACATCTGGTTATCACCCAATTGAAGCTCAGCCACTACTTACTCAGGATCACCCCAAGATTAGAAACCCCTGTTTATTTCACCAGGAGATTTAACCACCGTAATGCTAACCTACAGTAACCTAACCTAATCCCCTAAGTAGCATTTGAATCCCATCAATAAACCATTTTTCTGATGCTTTCTTGTCCCCCTGTTATCTGAGAGGGTGGGGGGGGGGGGAAATAGGATTGCACATACATGCTCACACACCTCACTCCTTCAGTGTGTGAAATAAACTGGGGTGTCTAATCTTCACATGAATCCTTACTTGCTCTATAATTTTCACTGGTGCTAAATGCATATGGTTAAAAGTGAACATAGTGATAGTCTTGGGTGAAATTTACTCAACACACTACCCTGGCAATTTGAAAGAGAGAGAGAGAGAGAGAGAGAGAGAGAGAGAGTACAGTACAAAAAGTAATACAGTACTCAGGGTACAGTCCCATCTTGGCAACTTCATGCAGAGAAACAAATGAAGACAAACATTAACAGAAATATCACACACACACACACACACCAGCATTACCCAACTCAACTAAAGAATCTGTCTCTCAGTTACTGTACTCTGTACTTGTTTTATATACCTGTACAATTAAGGGATCACCAGCTTATTCTAACAGAGAGTATCAGAGAAGAATGTGAAGAAGGTAGAGGGAAGTGAAGTAATAAAATTATGGGCAAAAGATGAAGGAGAGGTAAACACTTGGTAAAAAACACTTACAATGAAATAACTAAATTAAACCTACCATAATAAGTAGGAAATGTCTCACAATCACGTCTACCAACCCTAGCGAGACAACACACTTATTCAATTCCAAATTCACCAGACCCCTCCTGAAAGATACTTGTTACCGAGTGTACAATGTGCTATAAGGGGAGGGGGTGAATACCTCAAGCCTGTTAACTAGTGACAGAGGCAGGGAGTGTAAGGAATGAGAGGGGGAGGGAGGGGAAGGAAGAGGGAGGAAGAGGAGGGAGGGGAAGGAAGAAGAGAGGGGGAGGGAGGGGAAGGAAGAAGAGAGGGGAGGAGAGGAGAAGGGAGAGGAGGGAGGGGAAGGAAGGAGAGGAGGAAGGAAGGAAGGAAGGAAGGAAGGAAGGAAGGAAGGAAGGAAGGAAGGAAGGAGAGAGGAAGAGGAAGGTAGGGGAAGGAAAGAGATGGGGAGGAATGTGAAGGAGAAGGGGAAATAGAGAGGAGGAAGATGAAGAAATAAGAGCATTAAGGGTAAGCAAGAAGGAGAGGAAGGAAAGAAGGAAGACGGGGAGGGTGAAAGGTAGCAGCACAAGGGTGTGTGTGTGTGTACAACTGGGCTGCCTGGGTCTAGCTGTACATATGGCACAGTTCCTTGGCCAGGCCGGGATAATCCGCACCGAGGAGGAAAACCAGATCAATGTCCTCACCCTTCTTCCCTCCCATCACCTGTCCTGAATTCGGCCCTGTTCGTTCGTGTGTGTGTGTGTGTGTGTGTGTGTACATTTACATAAGGCTACCAGAACGTACACAGACCACGAGGAACACTTACATAAACACCAACACAAAGGAGTACAGAAATAGTATAAATACATAGAGGATCGCTTGAAGAATCTCCACTCCACACAAATAATAATAAATTAATTTGATAAATAATGATGTT